ACTTTTGAGAGACAATTTTTTTTTTTTTTTTTTTTTTTGGTTTTTCGAGACAGGGTTTTCTTGGTTTTGGAGCCTGTCCTGGAACTAGCTCTTGTAGACCAGGCTGGTCTCGAACTTACAGAGATCCGCCTGCCTCTGCCTCCTGAGTGCTGGGATTAAAGGCGTGTGCCACCACCGCCCGGCTTTGAGAGACTTCTTGTCACCAAGCCAGGACCCCATGAACTCTCCCTCATAACCCCATGTGGCAAGTCCTGGAAGTCACTAGGGTAGGTTGGGAGGAAGATTGTGAGGACCTGGAAATGGCCTGGGAGAGTTGCCTCTACACCTGTGATCCAACTCACTGGGATAGGTAGGCTAGAGGGCTCTTGCCAGGATCCCTGCTGGGACTGCCTAGCCTTTATCTCATCTCTCCTGTGTCCCCACCCCCATCAGTCCTGTCATTCCCAAGCTCCTGCCTGAAGTCAGACACCAGAGCAGGTCCTTTCTGGCCCGAACTGCCAAAACTGTCTCTTGAGAAAAGAGCTTGAGGTTGCACACATGCACACACACACACACACACACACACACACACACACACACAGAGAGAGAGAGAGAGAGAGAGAGAGAGAGAGAGAGAGAGAGAGAGAGAGAGAGAGAGTTGCTTGGCCTCTTCAGCATCCCACAGCGTTAGGCTCCACCGTCACTTCACGTGGTGACACACTGTATTCTGGGGCTTAGGCCCAAATGGAGAAACTGAGCCTGGAGTGGTAAGAGGAACAGAATCAACTACCTAAAGTAGATCAAGGAGATCTCAGCTCTCTCTGGTCCTGTGAAGAGAGTGCTTTGTGAGATTGCCAGTCAGGAATCTGGGGGGGATACATTGGAAATGGCAAGTCGGTCCCACTAGGGAGGGGATTGTGCCCAGGGATCCTCCCCTCCTATATGCTTACAGAAAGGCTTCCTGGGCCCAGGGCCTCAGAATTGCTACTGTAGAACCAGCATCTCAGAGCACCCAAGAATAGAGCCCAGATTATTGATAAGATAGGGAGGCAGTCCCCATTCTCTACACTCAATAGCCCCAAATCCAACCCAAGACACCTTTGTCTAGAGCAGAGTAGCATTTTTTGAATTCTGTAAATATTGCTACCAGCGCATTTTGTGAGGTTCAGAGAGGGGATTAACTTGCCTGGGATCACACACCTAGCCATAACACCCATGCAGGGTTTGGGTTCCCTGACTCAAAATTCGACCATAAAATGAAGATTTCCAGGCAGGTCTTTACCAACCCTTAGGTTGTGGGGAATGGATTCCCACAGAGGAGGAAGGGACCCAGGCAGTGACTAGCTGTAGGAAAGGGCAATTGTGTTTTAGGAAACCGGATCCTGGGGTTGTGGGTAAGCAAGGAGAAACAGAGCAGGAGACTGGGAAAAAAAAGTCTGGGTGCCAGGTTGAAGAGGTAGAGACCTCCTTGGCTGGGGGGGGGGTGTCAGGGTGGGGGCGGGGGGCTTTGAGTCCCTGGGAGACTGAGTTTTGCAGAAATGTGTTGGCCCTGCAGCCAGAACTGTCCTGTTATGCAGACTGGCGTGCCTGGATCATCAGTGAGCTCCAAGGGCCCTGGGTGCCCTGGGTGCAGTAGAGACCATGCCAGCCTAGAGCCAGGCCTCCTGGGGATTAGCTCTGCGAACATGGCTGTCAACAAACCCTACTCTTTTTCATTTCCTAATCCCAGGAATGATGCTCTAGGCTCTAGCTTGTGCCCTACACAGGGGGGGGGGGGCTCTCAGAGCCGATGCTCTGGAGAGGCAGCTAAGCAGCTGGTTAGAAAGACAAACCCCCTGCAGGGATGCATTGCCTTGTGTGCCTCACATCTGAGGATGAGGTGGGTTGCTCACAGGTGCATGGGATGCCGTGAGCCTTGACTGTTCGCACACTCACCCATAGTGTATGGAAGAGGGGCCCCGTGAGCTGTGGGCCAACAGCTCCATCTACTTCTGTGGTAGCCGTGGTCTCTATGGTTTTGGTATTAATTGGCCTCCTCTATTTCCAGGTCTCTTTTACAAAGCCAAAGTTGTCAGACTGTCTATGGTTGAGGTGACTGAGGCCTAGAGGTGACTATGGCCCATGTTCCTGAAGTGGTGGGGGAGAGGAGCAGAAACTACTCTGAAAGAACTGGCTGCAGAGAGCCCAGACTCTGAGCCCTAAATTCAGCTTCATGGGTGATATCAGCTGGGACTCTGGGCCTCACAATAGAGGTTGCACAGCCTCAAGAAGAGTTTGGCAAGGTGGAGGAGGGTGCTGGCCTAAGTATAGGGTGCTCAGGTCCTCCTGTCTGCACCAGCCTGCGGCACACACGGACACATGTGAGTATACTTAACCTGGATGCAGATGCTCAGTTGGTGGAGAGGAAAAACATAATCCAGATATCCCCTTACAACTCACGACCGAGTCCAAAAGAACTCGGGACTGCTAATACTTAACAACTGAGCAGCTCGGATCTCTGAAGCCCCCTGGGGTGAGGGTGGAGGAGGGGAGGCACCAGTGTTGTTGGAACACCTGATGGCAAGAAGGCCACCCTTCCTGGAGCACTGGCAGTGGCTGTGTTTTTATATCAGATCTCTGGGCTGGGCTCAGATAGTCCAGATCAGCCCAGTGTTGTTTCAAAATACACGGTGACTGCAGGCCTGTCTGATTGGGCAGCTGTGGCCTTTTGTCCAGTTAATTGCCAGCTTCAAGGACCTGTGATAGTCCCCTATGTAAGGAGGCTCAGAGGAGATGACACCCCCCCACGGTGTTGAGACTAGCACCATGACACCTGTTCATATTCCAGTCCATATATTCACCTTAGCTGGTGATACCTACCCCCATCCCTGGGTGTATCTTGGGGGCAGTATATGGGTGTGGGGTGGGGATTTCATGGATGGTAGGTAGGGTCCTTAGAACTGAGGGACAAAGAGAGGAAGTGGTGGAGGCCTGTCTCCACCAGCAAAAGAGGGTCCGTCTGGGAGGGAACTGTGACTAGGCCGCCTTCCACTCTGCACCCGGTGTAATAAGGGCACAGTTTCCCCCTCCCCACCTCGTATACCTCCCACCAAGGCAGAGGAGGGGGTGAAAGGGCCAAGGCGCCTCCAGCGAGTGCAATGCAGTCTTCTGAAGTCAACCTGGGAAACCTGGTCAGTTGCAGACTGGGCCAAAAGCGAACCCTGGAGACCAAAAATGTATTTCTTTCCTGCCAAGAGGATTTGTGGCTGCTCACAGTAAAAGCCTGGGCACAATGGAATCATTATGGTCAAGATAAGGAATCAGTCCACTCAGGGCAGATAGAATGCTGGGTAGTGAGCCGGGTGGAAGGCATCCTGCCCCCAGGTCTGAACACAAACCGGGGCCAAAGCTGCCTGGCAGCCATGGAGAAAAAGAAACAGGATATGCACACGGTTATTGATGTGGGGTTGACAAGAAAAACCTGGAGACCAGGAAGTCTGCAGTGTATGACCTCCTCAGCTGCGAGAATCCGCTCCCAGGAAGGGTGTTCATGCACCTCGGCGAACCCCCAAGCTCAGTTTACTGCACCAGCCCAATCTCCAAGCCCAGTTTCCATCGGCAACCACAGGCCCTAAGTGTCAGAGTCAGGGACACTGAGGGTCAGCAGCCATGTTTGAAACTGTGGCCTTGTAGCTGTGTGGCCTCCACACTCCCATAGCAACATGAGCCTGGGGTCACCAAGGCACCAAGGCTGCCAGCACAAGGAGCTATCAGTCTCTTCCCCAGCTCGCTCCCAAGGCCCAGAACAAACCAACCTCAGGAGAACCCTTGTTGCTCATCCCTGTACCTCTGGTTGCACCCTGCCTCCTGCCCCTGGGAACTAGTGTTCATTCTATGTCATGCCTATCCTCCCACCTACATCTATCTGGGCCCGCCTGGCCCACCTCACCTCCAGAGAGGCTCTCTGAGGCTAAGCTAGCCACTGCCCCTGTCTTCGGGTGCAGTGTGCTGAATGCTGAAGTGGTCACAGCAAGCGGCTCAAGAGCTTGCAGCATCAAGAGACCCAGGCTCTGCCCTGCTCCATTCTGATGCTACAGGGGATTTTCCGCTTTGAGTGCAGGCCCGGCTGCTGCCTCCGGCTGTTCAGATATTGGTGGGCGGGTTTCTCCCCCATTTGATCAGCTCCTACTGAATGTAACTCCTAAGAAGGAGCATCTCCCCGGGGCTGCAGCACAGGAGCTGGCCTGCTTGCTGAGCGCTAGGATAGCGATGCCCACCCAGGCTGTCTGTTCCAGACCCTCCCCTTTTTGCCAAGAGCACAGGGAGGAGGACCTCAAAGACGACAGTGACAAAGACCAGGCATGAGGCAGTAATTGTGTGCCGTGCCTATCATGCCTCTGCGTCTGCCTCTTACACCCCATCAGGAATGCCTGTTTAACAGACATGAAAACTGAGCTCCAAGGAGGGAAGCCAGGTGCTGGTCACGGCCGTGATGCCCACCACTCTGCCTCCCTCAACACACCACCCTGGCCACCGCTGTCAGCTTCAGGTGTGAGCTGAGCAAACAAGCTTGGGGAAATGAAGGATCCAAGTTGTGTTTGGTGGACAGAACCCATGCTGCCCTGGCTGGCCGTCTCCTCCACTCCTAAATCAAACCACGCTTAGATTAAAGGTTAGGCCCATGGGCCTGCTCAGCGCCTGAGACCCACATGCCACTCCAATTGCTTCATTATCCCTGACTTAATCCACAGACCGACCCTCAGTGCTTCTGTGAGAGCCGCGGCAGGTCGGCACCCATGGCAATGTGAACACAGCCCGCTCTGTGTTTGGCACGTCGTCTTAGAAACGACTGCGAACAATGAGGCAGCTTTTAAGATCACCCCACCCAGGATATAAAATGCCAAAATGTTTGTGGTGAAAAATAATTCAGTTACCGGTTTCCTACTGGGTGCTGCCATCGCAAATCGAATTGGAAGCAAAATCAGCCCTCTTTGAATTGGTTCAAATGAAGCTGTTATTCAGAATTGATTGTTGTGTTTGCCTCCATAAGGATTCAATAGGAGGCAAAACAATAGAGTGATTATCTCACTTTTGGTATTGCTAAATAAAGGCCCTGGCTAGACAGCCACAGCTGGACAGCCAAGGGTGGGTTTGCCCTCTTGGCAGAGGGAAACTGGAAAAGGCCAGTCCATGTGGGCTCCAGGCTGTGCCTGCAGAGAGCGGAAGAGTGGCTGCCATTCATCTTGCTTGAGCATGTGCAGAGGTGTCTACTTCAGGGCCAGGACCACAAACGATGATGGATGGGGATGAGCAGGGTAACACCTTTACCACTCAGCATGGGGATAGGTTTTGAAGTTGCCACAGCTGACCATATAGTGTAACTTCAGGTTCCTGGAGCCACCAATGCACAGATGGAACATGGTTCGACTCTGGCTTGCACCAAGCTTTGGTTTTCACTCCTTCAGCAATGAACCTAAGAAGAGACACACATTGTCTCGCATCAGGCTTGGGTGAGGACCTGGAGTCACCAACAATCCGGTGATCGTGAGTTACAGAGCTTGATCTTGACTGGGCCATGTCCTCAGGCAGTTCGGCTCCTGGTTTTGAGTCAGACACAGAATATTGGCTTCCTCGGTTTCTAGTGTCCCACTCCACTTCATCCACCCCAAGCTCCAAACGGGCCTGTGTCCAGCAGGTACTTTGTAAATGTCAGAAGTGCCATCTGTGAATGTGTGAGAGGTCCAGGCCTGCCCCAGGACTGCCATCAGACTTGGGGTTCAGAACAGAGCCTCATGGCTAAGCCAAGCAGGGGAGCTTCTACCCATCTTCCGACTCACGATGAGGAGCTATGGAGGCCCGGGACCACTGTGAAGTTAGTTCCCACAGAGGGGACACTCTCTCGAGCTTCTGCTCTGCCCTCGGGCAGCCTCCAGCACCCCAGGGTGTCCCCATGTGCTTGAGCATTTGGACAGCTGCAGCTTGGAGATTGAGCGTCACCCAAGGAAACTGATGTTTGGAGAATCTTGTCTGAGGTCCCTTGGATGTTTCCATGCCTAGGCTGCTCTGCAACCCAAGTCCCTCCTATCTCGGGAGTTTATCACTTGCTGAAACAGCCAACTTCATAGGAGTGTACCCTGTAAGTTCCCTGTTTCAAGGAGGGACAAAGCCTCCCTGATCTCACCCTTGGGTTTTCAGAGGAAGCTGGGTGTGTTCTTAGGACAATAGAAAGTCTGTCCAAATTTCCTGTGTGTCATTCTTTTCCTTTTTACTGGTGTCCCTCAACACTGTCCCCAGGGAACTGTCCCTCTCTGTCACCTGGGAGCCCACAGGCAACAAGGAGCTCAAGACCAGTCAGCTCAGGTTCCTGCAGATGACCGGTGGGCAAGGACGCAGACCACTATTGGAGTCGCCTGGGCATGGGAGATGGGACATCTTGGGTCATAGTGACTTGGCCTCTTGAGGTTAAAAAAAAAAGTGTAGTTATGGGCTTCCCTGGTGTCTCCCTGAACTCCACGGAAGGCTAATGGAGCACATTGTGTGGCAGTCGGGCTCACTCATTGGCCCTTACTGAAGACCCCCGACCATCCTTTCAGACCACAGAGCCTAGTTAGGGTCTGCTATTGCCTTTGCCCAGCCACACCTCTGCAGGTAGAGCATCTGTCAACCTATTTGTCACCCAGCCATCTTTAACTCTGCTAATGTTCATTCCTCTGTCCCTGTCACAACCAGGAAGCAAGCCTGAGTCACCAGTCCAGGAACAGGCTCCAGACATGGACCGGGGATATTGCAAGGTTGGGAGGCAGGGGTTTTTGGGCTGCTGCGGAGAAGATGAGGCCAGGGTGCCGACCACTCACTGGGGACATCTAGCATGAGCTAATTCCACTTATCTCCCAAAAGGAGGCTCAGCCAGGGTGGATGTCTGACTTGCCCAGGTACCCAGTTGCGGGGTGGCAGGGTTTACATGACTTGAAAATTAGGGCAATGAGTGAACACACCCCTCTATCATGCTGCCTCAGAGTTGAGGGGCATGACTTTTTCAAGCATGAATGTGAGGGAGGTGGCATTCCAGGGGCAGGCTGACACCCTCGGAGTGGCACTTTGAGAGACAGCCTATACTCAAACTCCCTAACCCTGGTCATGGCAGGGGAGGAACCTGGGACATGAGATGGCTCCATTGAGAGGCAGAAGCATTCAATAGAGATGGCTTCACTCAGAGGCAGAAGTCCGGATACTGTGGGCGAGTCCACAGAATGAACGCTGGGACCCATCTCCTGGCTACTCCCGGGGCCACTCTCCAGGCTCCTACCCCATGTCCTTGGGAGGAAGTGGGTTTCCTCTCTCAAGATGGGAAGGAAGGTGGATGGTTCGGCACCAGGAAGTCAGGTCTGGAGGTCACGTGTTCTGAGGTAGCAGGGCCAAGCCGGGATGCTGTCTTCCAGAGGCAGTTCCTAAGTGAGGGAAGCAGCCCGGATGCCCTGGAGAAGCATTCGCCTTTTGCGCCTGCTCAGCCATGTGGAATGTTGCTTCGTGACGGCCCACATGTGTGACTCTCATGGGCTTTCTGGTGTGCTTTTTGCCTCTTGATGTTTATAAGAACCTCATTAATAATAGAAAAGACCTGGAAAGAGCCCCCAAACTCATAGATCGATAAACGGATTAAACATTGGTGCATCCAAACCAGCAGCTACGGTTCTGTGCCAAGAGGAGCGTGCCGTAGGTGCACCCACGCAGGAAAAGCAGTAGCCTGGCCTGAAGGGCTGTGTGATCACTGACTTTGTTACATGGCATTTTGCTTAGGAGATTTTAGTTTTTACAGCGGTTCGGGGTTCACAGCAAACAAGCAGAAAGTACAGCCGCCATGTGCCCCTTGGCATGACTGAATGCCTCCATCTGTAAGTGAAGGTCCTCTGGAGATCCAACGGGAGAGTGGGCGTGTACTCATGGTAGTGAGTGTGGGAAAATTTTATCAGCTCTAAAGTGTGGTGCCCTAGCCAAGGTTCCTTATCAGAGTCTCAATAAGCCCTTAGAGGCAGTGACTGATTGGCCTGCTCACTGGGCTTACAGATGGTAAGAGAAAATGGCCTGTATCCAACTCAGAAGGTTCTGGAAAAGTGCCTCAGTCTCATTGCTTAGAGCTGAGGAGGGATCCTCTCAACCTGACCTGGTCTCCCCAGAGGCCTGTCATCTGCTCTGTAATGATGGAAAACTACTAGACAGTCCGGGCGCTCTGTTATCTACCATCAGCGTGCTAGAGAGGAGAGCGCTTGGGGCCAGGAGAACTGGCAATACCATGAGCTTCCTTTCTGCTCCCAGAGAGCCAAGGTGCTGGGTTGTGCCATGGTCCCAACTGCTCTACAGTCTCTAAGGGTCCCCACCCGTCATGGAGCCTAGAACAATACAGACTGTCCTGTCCTGGGGACGGATCACCTAGTCCTGCTCTCCCAACCAGCAGTCTCAGCAGACTCCTCTCCCCAGCAGCTCTGTCTTGAGTGTCTATGGGGCAGAGCAGGCCTCCTCTGGCACACCCTTGCTGAGCTCAGAGAGCACCTTACCGTCCATGGAGGCTGAGATGAGAACCGAATCCCCAGGACCCAGCCCCCCCCCCCCCCCCGCCAATCTGCTTATGGCCCTGACGAATATACTATTCTGCATTGAGATGAGAGCTAGGCATGCATAGTAGCTGGGGACCTCTTGAGCCTCTGTAGACAAGAGACTGCTCCTGGCCCGGAGGACAGGGAAGGAGGAAGGAGGCTATCTGCCTGTCCTCACTCTGAGCAGTATGCCGGGCCTCCTCTGTCAGGATCTGACCATGCAGTGAACATGTAACTGGTTTTCAGGCTGGACCAAGAATTCAGTGCCAGCCACAGGCAGCAAACACTAGAGACCTCATGTGTGCATTCAAGGCTAGTGGAGGAGAGAGTGGAAAGAAACCCCAATATGTCACCCCAAATGTGCTGTTTGACATGAACATCTCTGAGCTGAGGCAGTTATGAAACAGCAAAGACATAAGTCAGTCTCTCTCTCTCTCTCTCTCTCTCTCTCTCTCTCTCTCTCTCTCTCTCTCTCCCCATACCCCTCTCCCTCTCTGTCCCCTTTCTCTTTAAAGGCAGACATCAATAAATTCTCTCAGCAACTTGTCAAGCTAGGTTCAACCTAGAGGAGCCACGAAGTGGGTGCTACTCTGGAAGCCCACAGCCACTTCCTTCTGTCCTATTCCTTCTCTGAGCCCACTCTCGGGTAAGGACTCTGCAAGCTGAACTTGTAAGCTGTTGATGTGAGTAGCTGAGTGACAGCCTTTTGCTGTTTCCTCTCATGCTTCTGAACCTGATGGGAATTCGCTGCTTGTTGGATGCCTTTGTCAGAGCCGAGAAGGTATATGCACTCTATGGTAGGGGCGACCACTGAATAACTTCATGAATCCAAGATTCTCAACGACTGCGTCAAGTCCCAACATGCAGCACCCCAAGATAGGAAAACTAGGGCAGGAGAGGTACACCTGTGTCGGGTATGCCTGTGTCCCCCCACTTCCTGCTTCTGGAAGGCGACCAGCTGTGGCTCAGTATTACAGTCCAGCACTCAATAAAAAGGGGCCCAGCTGCGATCACACCCAAGCAGATAGGCTAAGAAGCAGGAAGAGAAGTGGGTTGCTTCTCTCAGGGTGGGAAAGAACATGGCTCTGCACCAGTAGTCAGTCCAGAGGTCCAGAGAGTAAGCAATATGCATTCTTACATCACTCTGGAGCCCTGACTTCCAGGAAGCTGTGGTTTCTGCCTAGGTCCATGTTTCTTGCGGCTTCTGGTATCATTGCCCTCCAGGGGACTCTCTTCCTGCTGCCCGGGCTTAGTACTGTCCAGGCCAGAGGTCTGCACTTCTGTCCCTCGGCGGCCCTGCTTCATTCCGTCATCCGTGAAGATAAAGCATCAGGGCTTCAAGAGAGGGCCGCTCCGAGGGGCTGATTTTGGATGGAGATATGGAACAATCATATCTGTTCAATGACTTCAGAAGATCCAGAAGGTTCTTCCTCAGTCTGTGCCGGATGGCTTCTAGGCAATGCTGTCCCTCTGTCCAGGTAACTGAGGCCCCATATCCTGCGCTGTTCCTTCTCAACTGTCTCTTTTCAAGGATGGGCCCTATACTCATTTTTATCCATTAGACTGAGGTTCTGCTTACCTCTGGACAAGTCTCCTGAGCACAAGGCCCATCAGAGACCCCAACTGTCCACAATCTAGGACCCTCCAAGCCACGTGGCACCAGCCCCCAAGCTAGGCTGCAAACACCCAGTTCCTGGAGACACCTGGCTCCCTGCAACAACCCTGAGCTCTAAGCAATGGGAGCAATTTCAAATGCTGCGTCCTGGTGGGGCCATTAAAGCATAGCAGCCTTGATCATTGGAGCCATTTCTCCTGCGTTTCTGACACAGAGAGGAAAAAAATCCCCAAATAAAACTTGTCCCATAGCTGTTCCCTCTGAGAT